GGCCCGCCCTTCCCCATCCGCTGCCCTGGCGCGGAGAGGGAGGAAGGACTCGGAGCGCCTTTCGCTCGCGTTTCCCCCCGAGCCTGCTGGGAGCTGTCGTGGTACTGGGGGGCGCAGGCACCTGCTGAGGGTGGTGGGCATCGCAGGGGGACGGCAGCGACGTTTGGAGACCCTGCAGCGGCTGGGGGGGCTGTTTTTTTTTGGGGAAAGCTCGCCGCCAGCTCAGGGCATCAGGGCTGGGCAGCTGGCACACGGCACGTTTTTTGTTTTTTCCTGAGCAGAAAATCCACCACCTTTTGCTCTGGGAAGCCCCCACGTTGTTCGATAACAACAACCAAAAAAAAAAAAAAGTAGAAAAATCTTTAGCATGATACCGAGAAGAGATTTCTTCAGATTTCCGTGCAAGGCTTTGGCCCAGAGCAGTGAAAGCGCAGACTGTTAGCGTGTTAGTCACAAAGGCAGCATTTCGCTCTCTCCTCTTGGAGGACAGTTTCCAGAGGGCAACTGAGACCGATGTCCTTACAAACACAGCCCAAGCCTGCTAAAGTAATGCTTCATCTTTTACAAATCAAATCTGCATTATCCCTAATAAGAACATACATCTCTTTCCCAGAGAATAAACTGTCAATCCCACGGCCCTGGTAAAGCTAGGAGTGCACGATTTGTCAATCGTTTTGACATAAATGTCTGTCCGTGTGACATTTAGAGAGATGAACTGCAGAACATCTCTATGGAAACAGTTTAGCTGTCGTGCATCCAAGAGGAACAACACCCCCTACAGTAATCACAAATGTAGCCTGGAAAAAAAGACGTGCTTTTTATTCTAAAGGCAATGCAAGTGTACGTGTGACTTTATTTTATTAAGAAAAAAAATAAAGTGTTAAGAAAAGTGTTAATCTTTTACATTGAACTGCCTGCACGTGCAGAGCGAGAGCACACACAATAAGGAGCCAAGCCTGAAACAACCATGCTTTCAAGCATCCAGGGAGAAAGAGGGCTGTTGGGTTTTGACCTCGAAAGACTCCTGATGTTGAACAAAGTATTTTGACCAGAAATCCTGCCTCTTGTTTCATTTGGAAGAATAAATCTCAGAGGAGTCATCGGAAATCACTTCTAATTACTACCTCTGTCCCACTTGAACTGATCCTCCCCTATTCCTCATTGTTTCACCTGTTCCTTACTATTTCTTCAAGCTGTGCTGGTTTTGGAGCATTGTTTTTTTCATTAGCACAGTGGGTGAAGTGATGCTGACAGTACAAATGAAACACCTCAAGTATGGACAGATTCTGATTTGCTCATTCATGCTGTTTGCTTTTTATTGAAATCATAGGTTGCTTGAGATGAAAAGTATGTGGGAAAGCAAGTCCCTGAATGCACACTGTTTACTAAAATGGAAAATGGCAACATTAATGTTTGAAATATCAGAGCACTCTATGAATATAAAAAGTGTCCACTTAAAGAGCGTTTTTTGTTGCAAAATCCTCTACAAAGCAGCACAGACAATATTTTGTTCTTTGCTGAATCACAGCAACTTCATCAGTCATGACTATAGTGGAAAACTAAAAAAAAAAAAAAAAAATCTTTAAACCCTATATTTCTTAAAACTGAAATGACTGAGTGGCGCAAGAAGGAAAATTTAGATGAAGAAATAGGAGATGTATTGCTTTAAAACACAAAACTGATATTTGTAAAAAAATGACACCCAATTTTGCATTTTGGAGAAAAACATACTATCTTTTTGTATTAATAATAATATTGTATCACTACCTTGTTACAAATGGTTTTCTCTGGGTTTTTCTTTAGTTCTCCAGGTGTAGTATTCACTATCCTAAAAGGCTGCACTTAGTCTAGGTTAAAGAAGGAAGATCACCAATAAAAGAAGTTGTAAAAAAGGAGTATGAATAATAATTCAGAGCTGTACTTAGAAGCATTAAGAAGGATGAAAAGGCTAAAGGCTATAGGAGATTGCATAGTGGAGGATAATTTATGTGTAAAACCTGTGAACAGGAGGTTTTGAGAACCTAATTCTGGTGAATTAGTGAGGTTTTGTTATTTCCTAAAAAATGGGTTACTGTCGTCTTCCCATCTTCAGAGATTTGAAGATGGAGCAGAGGTTGCCATCACATAAGTGAAGAGGCTGGAGTTTGTGATTGGTGGTCACTGGCTCAGTCCACCTGTCTCCTGTAGGTTAGCTAGAGACTGTCTAACCTGGAAGGCTGGTGGCAGTGCTGGCCACCCGCTGTTTCAGAGCCAGTAGCTTGTCCAGCACCATTGGCAGCACCCTGAGTGACAGTCCTTCCCACAAATACAAGTTCATCTGGTTTCTTCTGCAAATGCAGGTGGAGATGAATTTCAGAAGTTACACAAGAAAAAAAAAATTGCAAATCTGCAATTTGGCTATTTGTTTACATTTTCAAACTCTACCTAGGAATGCCAAGGGATAGAAAATACTTGTTAAATTCCCCTCTTCTGTTCATTGTTATTCTCCAATATTAGTTTTGATATTTCTGTGTTCCTAAACTTAGGAAGGGACAACACTGGCCATGAAATATAGGTATATAAAGAAATTACATGAGAAGCTGAGTTTAATGGATGCAGATAGCAATACCACAGATATAGTTTAGTCTAAGGAATAAATATGGGAATGTAACTAATATTACAGGCTAAATATAGGTAGACAAAAGGCAATAACCTATGCCAGAATTTGGTGAGACAACTAGTATTGTTCAGTCTATTATTTCGAAAAAAATTGGTCTTGAATATTTTATGACCACAGAGGGAGTACCCTTTCAGTAATGCCCTTTAGCATCCCTTCAGTCAAATTGGAACTAAAGAAAGAACTTAAGTGGCCAGAGAGATTTCTTGTAATCCCTCTTCCTCCAAGAACCCAGATTTAGAAAAAACAAATTATATGAAGGCTCTTTTGGTAATAGGAAGGGATGCTGAAATCTTAACTTGAGAGTACACATTTAGACAAAAACTAAAGGAAAGTGACGGCCAGTGAAAAAATCCCCTCACAAAGTTTTATAAATTGGACCCATCTGAAACATAAACCAATTCCTTAACAGTTTATTCCCTTTAGTATTAATTATGGAGAAGGTAATGTCTCCATTAGCTTGAATTACAGCAAATGTATACATTTTATTATTTTGTACTTAGACTAGGCAAGGAGTCAGAAGGCAGAGCTTTCCCAGTGTCTCACTGCTTAACTCTGCAGAAGCCCTTCTCTCTACTTCAACTTTTCAATCTGTGCAGTGACTATGCTATGCCTCACTTCAGAAACCACAAGTAGGAAACATTCCCAGGCTGTTTAATAGCATTTAAAAATTATATTACCTGTTCTTCATTTCTCATCACAAGAACATATGATTCCCAAAAGTTCTAAAGTTCAGAGGGTGGGGGATATTTTAAATTTAAAAAAAAAAAAAAAAAAAAAAAAAAAAAAAGGAAAATGGGAATATCTTCAGTACATTTGCATGCAGTGCACTAGAGGGCCCTCAGGAGTTAGAAATGGATGGAATGCACTTTTGGAAGGCACATGCTCCACAGGACTTTTCGTTACAGAATTTAAAATAGAAGTTGCTAGTTTGGTTCTTTTTTTTTTTTTTTTTTTAATAATGTGAGGTTCATGTAAGTTTATATCAGTTCATATGCAAACCACCTCTCAGTACAGTTAGCTTCCAAACAGTATTTAGCCTGCAATGAAATACCTAAATGTGAACCATACTTAAAACTTAAATATGTGTTAGAATACTTTGAGAACGTCAGCTTTTACTGGGTTACTTTTATTAACCTAAGGAGTTTACCAGAATGAAGGCTGTGTCAAGCTGAATAGGTAAGACATTTTATATTTTATAGCAATATCTATAAGACATGCACTTATTCTATCGTTGTTTCTTTGAAATTATATATAAGCCACTGTCATTTCGTTTGGAAACTATAGCTAGATAATATTTATGGCTTCACAAGAGTGAAGTGAATAAACCAGCTTTCATCTTTAATGTGTGTTTATGAATGTGAACTGTATTCATATTCAACTGGGGAAATCTGGCACTGCTAATAGATTTTTCTATTAGTGAATATATGCATATTTATCTGCTACAATGACTGTTGCTTAATATTGTATAATTTACAACACTTCCACACCATGAGGTTTAGTGGAGACTTTGTCTCATAAGAAAAAGATGATAATGATCTGGGTTTGACAAGCTTTTCTTCTGGAAACACTGTTAGCTGAGATTGCAAATTGAGCCTGTATTTCATTATTTTCATGTTTAATTTATACTGTAATGAGAAAGTGAAAGATGTACTCTGACATATTTCTAGATGCATACTGTCTCATCTAGAACTTATGTCTCTTAAAAATATAGAACCACAGATGCCATATGTGAGTAATGGAACAAAATGCTACTACTCTTTCTTTTTGCAGTTTGCAAAGGAGATATTTTTAGACTGCAAGTCAGTAAACTTTGCTTACATAGCTGGCTCCATTCATTCTCTGAAACCAATCACTTCCCCTGTGGTGGCTGATAAGAATTTAACAGCTTGAGAAGGTGGAGTATCAGCATCCTTAGTGCTAGACACATTCCCAGGCATTATCAGTAGCCTCTGTCCATCACCCATGCTGGAAGCTATTTGGAAAAGGAGAAATAGAAATTGGGGAAGGGAAGTCATGCATCATCATCCTGTCTGGAGCGTGCAGAAGACTTTATGCTGTTTTCATCATGTGTATTCACTAGAGAAATGAGCACCTTTGATCAGCCAAGTAAAATCAAAAACTTGTTTATTTGCTGCCTGTGCCCCCCACGGGTGGTGAGGCTCTGGACCTACAGACGCCCAAGGACAAGGAGGAATCTGCTAGTGGGCACTGCGTGCGTGATCTACCTGGGATTCCTCGTCAGTCAAGTGGGTCATGTTTTACCCCAGCACAAAGGAGGACACCAAAAGATCAGTTCCAGAAGTCTCCAAGATGCAGCCCAAACTCCTTTTCTGGGCATCCCACTGGATGGCACCCTGTCACCACCCAATTTCCAGGAACCCCAGCTTGGTGGCAATGGGACCTTGCTGCCACCCAATGTAGTTTATATCACCCTACGGTCCAAGCGCAGTAAGCCTGCCAATATCAGAGGCACGGTGAAGCCAAAGAGCAGGAAGAAACATGCAATCCCTTTGTCCTATGGGCAGCACTTTCCAAAAGCTGCTTTTAGGGGCCAGGAAGAGGCCTTTGCCCAGCAACCAGGAAGGGCCATGCATGCTGCGGGCACAATGGGAGCAGTGATAGCTCTGGAGACAAGAAAGCACCAGCTGGATGAACACAGGCATAAAGAAGTGGCCATCAGGGAGAGGGGTCACTGGAGACCTGGGAGGATTTCTGGAGGAGCAAAGGCACAGTCCCAGCCTGAGGAAAGCAATATCAGGATTTACAGCGAGAGCTCTCCCTCTTGGCTGAGCAAAGAAGACATCCTAAACATGCGCATGCTCGCAGATTCTCAGATAGAGAGCATCCAAGAAGCACCTTCTCACAAAGCAGTCCTCGTAGTTTTTGCGAGGGGCCCCCATACTGCAGGAACTGCTTGTGACCAGGGGCACTGTGGCATTGTCAAAAGACCCCTCGACATGAGCGAGGTGTTTGCCTTTCATTTGGACAGGATCTTGGGACTGAACAGGAGCTTACCTTCTGTAAGCAGAAGATCAGAGTTCTTCCAAGGTAACACATTCCTTTGGCTTTCAGCTTGCAGGTGGGATGCTGAGGTTTCCTTCCCCTTCTCGTCTTAACCACAGGGCAGCAGCCACCTTTAACTGCTGCGAGCCTGAGAACTAACCCCATCATTACAGGGAAGTAAAGCTGGTATCCGTGTGGAGTTTCTGCAGTGCAATTATCCTGTTCAAAGGACACAGTACCCCAAAGTTCAGATCAAATACCAGTATGTTGCTCTGGGCAGTAACAATTTATCTTCCACGAGAGTCTGGAATGAGAAAAAAAAAAAGAGGGAGTGATCCATACATCACATAACATTGTACAGACTGCCTAAAGTGAAACCAGTGAAAGAAATTCCAGAATACCCTGGGATTTGTTGGGTATTTCTCATTTTTTAAAAAAGTTTTCTCATCTTTTAGATTTGACTTGAATAAAACGTTGTTGAAAGTGAGCATGAGAATTCACCTCTCAAACAGATGATAGGAAAGGGGGTTTGTATATAGTCAGATAACCTACTTGGAGGGGTAGGGGAGCTTCCTGCAGAAGCTTGACACTACTTTCATGGTACTAACACCTCTGGGAACTGAAAAATTTCAGAGTGCTTCCCTCTCCCCTGGTAATTAAAAAAAACCCCTACATTTCAGTGAATCCTGCTGTAAATTTTGAGGTTCATCACACACATCTATATATTATGCCGACAAAGAAATATACACAGTAAATATCTTACCATGCCTATTACATGATTGGTATAAAGTTTTCAATTAAAAATTTTATTCTTTTTTCTTTAGTGAAATTAAAGATAGATTTCAGACATGTGAGTTGGAAGTCTAACAAGATAGCAATGTTAGAAGTAAATATGCCTTCAGCCTAACTGCTATTTTTGTACAGTCACAAATCACAATCCAAAAGGACTACGTTGCATTTTAATGAATCATTGCTAAAGTGGCTAGCTATGTTTTTGCTGTTCCTTTCGTGCTGCTGAATTTAGCTTATACAGAATATTTTTGTACCAGTCTGCATTTCTTAAAAAAAAAAAAAAAAGTGATGCAAGAATGATTTCCAAAATCTGACAGCAGGATGAAGACCCAGTGATCTCCTCTTTCTTCCTGCTTTGTAAACCTTCCTTTTGGCAGCCTGTACAACAATGTGAATGAGGATCGAGGAATAACAGTTTGGAGGCTTCTGAATATTATTCATACTTGCAGAGCATGGAAGATACATTATGCCTAGTTTATTTTAGGAACAAGATTTATTGCTATAGAGCTGTCATAAGGCATTAAGGTAGTTCAGTTGGAGGAACTCTGCACAGTGTGACTGCAGAGATGACAGACTGCATGCCTCTGAAAACTGCTATTAGGCTAATTGTGCATTGTGTTGCTCAGTGTCTGTCACCTTACAGTATGTTTTGGACTGTCTGGGACAGTGTCATTCTGTCCTCTCTAATTTTCTTTTCCTCATAACCAGCTATGTTTCTACAGCAAGAAGAGCGTTGCTAGGTGATGAGAAGAGAAACAACATTAGCTGGAAAAAAAAATGAAGTGAGACCAAAATAAAGGATGAATAGAGCATTTGGGACAGTTACTGTACCTTGGCTCTCTCCATTTCTTTAGCCTAGAAATGCACTGGAGCTCAGATGCCTAATATCTGCTTGAGCTCATTACTATTTACATGCTTGTGTTTGGCATACCCTGGAAAACGTTTGTGTTGAGAAAACGAGCAACATTATATTCTTAAAAATAATCTGAATGATTAGTGAGCTCATTTCTATAACCCATAGACATTTAAGTTAAAATTAGGTGGGTACTGTAAAGTTTTTTACAGGGCAGCTTGAGTGAATCATGGTTGTTCATATGGGAAAGCAAGCAATGCAGGATTAGAGACTGTACATGTGTGTATGAATGTGCACAATTTCTGGGCTGACATATCTCTCTCCACGACACATCCCTTTCGCTTGCCTCAGTTGTGATGTGATCTAACAAGACATGTTTGATGTAGCATTAAAATCTTAAAAAATGGACTTTTCAAAACTGTCATTCATTTTGTCAAGATCAGTTTCAAAGAGCCACTTAGTAAATCCCTGTACAGGTTCTGTTTCCCCTACTCTCACAAATGCCCCACTAATTTTTTTTTTTTTTTAAGTCTAGCAAAATATTGTGTGCAAGTCCTCTGTCTGCTGCCCTTGCATTCCCTAGTTAATTGTAAAATCTTTTAAGTGTTAACTGAATTTTTATGGTTTATCTGATTTTTTCCATCATGGATGGAAAAATCAGGTATGACAACTCTGTCATATTTTTGCAAGGAATTGGCCAAACATAAAAAGCCTGGGGAGTACAGGTGGGCAAAGCCCTTTTTAGGTCTGCGTTACAGGCTAGAATAGCATGAGTCTGGGCACAGGCAAGCAGTCATTCATTATACCAATTGCTACCTACAAGGAATGAAAAATGTCAAGAGCTCCAAAACACCTATAAACAAAGATGGATAAGCCTCTGAAACAGCAAGAAATTATCATGAAACTCTTGTCTGTTGTGGAGTAAATGGAGGTTATCCTTGCATATCTGAGTTTGGGGATGGTCACATTAATACCACAGGACTGAGAATCTTCATTATCTGATCACCCCGAGGAACAGGAGTGACCTTGCTTGGTGTCACAGCCCTGCCTTCATTTGCACAGACGCTAAGTAAAATGACTGCATGTGCTGCCTCTAGCTCAGCAACAGTGTTTGCAGGGTAGGACAATGCCAGTGTGTGTTACTGCTTGAGCTACCACTGGAGTAACTTGGGCTGGAGCAGACCTGCTCCTGCATTGCAGCTGACAGCTGTAGGGATAGGACTCTGGCTCCTTCGATTGTAACAACAAGGCTGAGCTTTTTACTCAGCTTTTGGTACAAAATGTGCAGCTATTGCTCCACAGTTTTGTTGTGCCGCTGGCTGAGGGCCTCAATTAAAACATGCAACAAACTCTCCCTCTGTGTAACACCTTTCATGGTTCGTTTAGTGCAAAGAGATGAATGACGTGATAGATGCTCCACTGGTTGTACTTGTCATTTTGCTTTACTGGCTTCTACATGATGATAAATGGACCCATAGATTTTCTGTGTTATACCCTACATTATCAGCCTGCCCTTGCCATCCCGTCAAAAAATTATGAAAAAGCAGACAGAGATATTATGAATCACTAATGTCAGGGCAAAGAATAAGATAAACCTAACTCTGCCTTATGCATTCAGAACATTCTAAAGTACTTCAATTTATTTTTCTTGTTTTCTGTCAACCCAAACAACTTACACTATAGTGTTGTACCTCTCAGAGGGTCACCAAAGGTCATGTTTCAATATTTTGTTGGGTAGGGAAGCTTGTGCATAAGCCATAATGCAGTACATAGTCTAGAGAGCAACTGATGCACATTTCACGCATTCCTTCTGACATCCATATGAGCACAGGACAGAAACATTGCAAATAAGATGCAGACAGAAGGAAGAAGAAAAAAAAAAAAAGCCTAACTTCTCTCTGCTTTCTGCTTCTGTCCCTTATAGTTTCCTTCAGAACTTAATCGTAAACTCTAAAATTCAAGTAATGCTCTGTATGTCAGTCCCTCTCATCTTTCCACACTAAATTACCCCTTCCTGCTAGTACACAGGCAACTAAACTCTTATTTCAAATGTGGCAGTGGTAAGCTGTACTGCTCTGTGGGCAACAATGAGGAGTTTGAGAAGGGGCTTTAACTACATCATGAATGATTTGCTCTTTTTAGTGATATTCTTGCAGGCATGTTTGAAAATATTTTCTTTCAAGGAAGCTGGAAAAAATGCTGTAGATACAAGTTAGAGCACAAGATGGAAGAGTAACATTTGCAAGAGCATCTTTGTGGTTAAGAAGCACAGAGATTGTTTTTGAACTGGTGTGTGTGGGTATCTGAGATGATGCCTACATTGAAGAAGCCATGCAGTGATACATTAACTGCACGAGGCAGTTTCAGTACCTTGAGGTAGTCTAGTCCCAGCAGTCTGAGGTTTCACCTGTGTTAGCTTATTCAATTTAAGATATCCTGAGCCAGTAGTTCTAATATTTTTAGAAATAATATATATTTTTAAGCATAAAAATAATTACTAGGAAGCTGGTTCCGACATGAGTTTTGAAAAATCCCATACAATTTTACAGATCATCTTTAGATAGTCAATAAAATATATTGTTCTAAAATGGCAGATGAAAAGAAAACTAAGACAATCAGCTTTGGGCAAGATCCAGTGCAATGCGGCTGCAGCAAGAGAAGAGCAGTAGCCCTTTGTGTTAATATATAAAGCTGATTAGGAAAGAAGCACATGCACAACACTGCACTTATTCTGAGGTGTGCCCCACCTCCTCAGTTTTGGCTGTGGCAAACTGGAAGCTCCGATTCTTAGCCAGGCCTTACTTATCACTGTTCAGTTAACTTCAGCCCCATCTTCACAAGGTTTGAATCAGAAGAGCTCCACCAATTTCAGTGGAGTCATGCCAATTCATGCAGCTATGAATCAGACCCCTTATCTGCTTTAATTCAGCATCTTCATGTTTTTCCTGCAAGTGTCAAAATTTTGAGTCACTGCTCTTTACTGAAGCTGCTGTTTCATATTCCTGTAATTCAATTTATCTTACAGAGTTGAAAGATTGTATTTTGGCTCCTCTTTTCTGCTCCCACTTCCTCTGAAATGCAAACATTTCCTGTATTTAGCCTTAGTCTTTTAAAAATGTTTTTGTATCTTAATGGAAACTGGCAAGATATTATTCATATTTTTCAATTATTTATATTACTATTGTTTATCATGTCCCTTTTGGGTAGACAGGAGATGTTTGTTTTGTTAGAAGACCATTTATTTATTTGGTTTGTGGAAGAATTCGTGAATAGTTACATAAGCTGTTATTGGAGATATAAAAGTAATAGATCAGACTTGGTCCTGAAGAAGGCTGTCCTTTTTTTTGGTGACAATTCCCAATGCTTATAGAGACTTTCTCCAGCTGTCTTGGAAAGGAGGCTTAGCCAATGTTTGACCTGACTTGGCTAAATCTGCAATACAGGTGATAGAGCCAGAGCAAGGGAGATGGTGAGATGGCTAGGATTCCCCCAATTAATTTCCTAAATACTTTGAGGAGCGCTCAGTGTTTTTTTGGTTTTTTTTTTTTTTTTTTTTTTTTTTTTTTTTCCCAAGCAGAGGAAAGTGTGGAACATGGTGCTGATAAAGGTAGTACTGATCCTAGTGAAAGGGAGAGATTGATGTTCCTAACGGAAGAACACTTTCAGTGTTCCTGAGGAAACAGTGGGCAGTTAAAGCTGCACATTGGGTTGGCTTGAGGAGGACTATCTTGTGTGTGCAAGCCAGGGCAGAGAAAAGATCAAGTACATTCTGATTTTGGAGAGGAGTTTGTTTTCCTCTTGGGCTTGATTGCATCTGGGGCCTGTAATGCTCTGTCGGCAAACACAAGATGATTCTCTACGAAGCTGGGCAAAGGTCATTTCTTACGTGTTGTTTTAGATCAGTCACAGTTCTTTGAACAAGTTGCTTTTTGATTCAGCTGTATGGAGATGTCCCTTTTTTATCAGTTCTTGCTGCTTACAGATGGAACATTCACATTGGCAGCTTTTACCTTGCCATTGGCACTGATAGCCATTTTCTGTGTGCCATTCTCTGTCTGGTTTGCCTCTGGAGAAGAAAGTGCTGTGGTTCTCTTTGCCTTCATGCGAGTTTCTGAAAGCTTCTTTTCAGATGTGTCTCTGGCTCTTTGGGCACATGGAAGACAAAGAACCAGTTTAGGCTGCATTTAACTATGTGATAAATTGTGGAATAGTGTGGGCTTTAGGTTCATTTACCTTCAAGATTAATATAAATAATTTTTAAAGCTTTATACATGTTCCAGCACTTGCTGCTTAGTAAATAACAGCTTTTCAGTTAGATGATTCCTCTTCTCTGTACAGATACATCATATTTTGGTCTTCTGTCTACACCCAAAAATATAAAGGATTTATTTGTTCTCATGTATATAGAAAACCCAGTCAATCCTGGGTCCTTGACAGTTTAGGGCAGCAGCAGCACTGCATCACCAAAGAAAAGGAGAGTTCCACTTTCCTGAAAAGACAGATATGCCTGTTTCTTGGTATTGGGTGCAATATATTTATCAGTTCTTATATTGGGAAAGCTAGTTTCTTCCCACAAAGAACTCTGAACACTTGAATTCACCAAAGCTAAGGCCTTTGACTTAGTTTCAGGGAAGGACAGAATATTCTCTACACAGAAGGATTAAAGAATTGCACCAAAATAGCTGCTGTATAAAACAGATCTCATGTTATACCTGGATAAAAAGAATTACTTGTCAAGGTGTTTATTCATGCTAAGCTCAAACTCCGTAGTATTCTCATATATAATTTCAGAGCTGTGAAATCATACATTATAGACCTAGAATACTAAAGATAACAAAATAAATCCACTTTGAGTATAGGATTTGTAGTGTTTCTATGCCCATTATACAGAAAAAATACTTTGACATAAATTTTCAGCTCTTGTAAATCATGAGTTCACTGGAGTCAAAGGAAAATTACATTGCTGATTCACAGTGGCATTGTAGTCTCTTAATCTACCTACAAGCTTCTTAATAATCTGGTTTAGTATATGGTTTTGTACATTGATCTCTTGCTTCAAACAGAAATCCTTCCATACACTGATAGCATTTATAATATCTGTGCCTCTTTCATTCCTGCAGTGGGTGGTTTTATATGTGGAATAAGACCACATTAACCAAAGGATGTCAAATTATTAGTCCCTGGACATTTTTTCCTGCCACATCTGTAAAATGGTGTAATTATTGATGCTGGCAATGCCTAAAGAATAATCAAGTCTGACAGTATTGCACTATACCAGTGATTTGTTTTTCTTTTTCAGACGGTCAAGCCCATCCTGTTATTCTCTGGGATTCCTCACTGAGTCCAACAGATAATACCCATTCTTCAGTGAGATTAACCTGGGGACGATATCAGCAGCTATTGAAACAGAAATGCTGGCAGAATGGTAAAGTTCCCAAAGCTGAGTGGGGCTGTACCGAAATCCATCATCATGAGTGGTCCAAGATGGCACTCTTTGATTTTCTTCTGCAGGTAAAACATTTACTGAATGCAACTAGCTGCCTTAAAACGCATGTGAGCACACATGGGACTCCTAGAAAAGTCATTTTAGTTTATTTATGTCTTTATTATTAAAGTATCCAAAATGCAACTTATAATCAGAGATAGAGATCAGGAACTTAACAAATTTTCTAAAAGAGGAAGGCAAAGGCTTTTGTCTTGAGACATCTTGTTTTACCTCACCTTGAGGGAGGCATACTGTTTCTCCTTGTCTCCTTGTTTCTCCAGTTCTTGACTACATTCACAACTGTAAGCCACTTCTTTTACTTTGTGGTCCTTCCTGCACTGCCCCAGCCCCCAGAGTGGGGATTTATGTGGCTTTGGTCAGCAGAAGTCTGGATTAAGAGAATATTTGTAGTGGCTAATTTTCCTTCTTTTTAAAAACATAGGCAGGTGACTTAGTAAGGAAAGAGCAGCAACTGATGAACAGTGTGGCTGCTGTTCCTCAGCTAGGTATTGCAGATGATCATTAGCTCTCCAGATAACACCAAACTAGGGCTCTGCCTAGTGGTATCGTAATGTGTGGCTACAGTTACAACAGTTATGTATTAGATTATTAGTACACTCCCTGTATTAATAAGGACTGAACTGAGCCACTTGCTGGAAGCTAATTTTACAGCTTCCTGAGATATGGCACTACTTCCAATTGTTCTTGCCTGCCAGACAAGTCCAGGTGACTGAGCCTCTTGTAACACTTATCAGTTTATTTAAAACTGCAGCAAGCACTAGTTTTGTGCACTGTGTTTGGTTGTTCATATAATTCAGCTTTTTAGAGAGTTACATTTCTTGAAATATAAAAATCATAACTTGTCTTTTTTCATAAAAATCATAACATATCCTTCTCAATCCTGTTCTAAAATTAATGGATTTTTTTTTGAGTTATATTTTTTCAGACTTGTTATGTTAAACAGCACATACAATTATTCTCTAAAAACAGATTGTCACTTGTCTAATAGTTCCATTTTTAATCTCGCTATGAGCAAGTAATTCTTAGAAACTGGCATAAAGCCATATGTGGATTATTCTGATGCTAAACATAGTAATGCCCCTATAGGAATAGTACAGATTATGTCAGACAGTTAATGTTTTCATGCTGTTGTCTTCCTGAAGAGTTTAAAAATTCTTATGAGTTCTGTGCCAATTTCTAATTTTAGGGTCTTCTAAGACAAGTTTTTAATTTTCATAATAGAACTCCTATTATCTATAAAGAAAGGTCAGTTAAAACAGGATACAACTGGATTGAACTCTACATGAACAAATTATTCTCATAATAGTAGCTGATATCAGTATGATTCATACCTCCAGTTGCCTACCAGGCAAGAATGTATATACTAGAAAGTGAGTGAAAGTGGGTCTCAGATTTCTTAAAGATTAATATTTTATCTTGGTGCTTTCAGACTTAACTTTAAAGTTTATCAGCAGTAGAACATGAAAACTCTAAACCAAAAAATGCCAAGAAGGTCATCTGTGCTTCACGAGTTATTCAGAAATAAAGAATAATGGTGAAACATTATTCCCTCCAAAGAATGGGTCTGGTACCTGTAATAGGTTAATCTCTGGTTTCAAATGCTATAAAACATTGGAGCAGCCTGAAAAATGCTTATAGCCTTCACTTGCCTCTGCAAGAACTCAAGTAAAATAAGGACATTAAATGTAAAATTACCACTTTAATTTTGGGGGTTTGGACCTCTCATGTACATAAATACATGACAAAACCCAATGCTAAACTGTTAAGGTTGTTGCAACAATTCCAGAGTGTCCCATCATTCTGCATTAACACTGGAATAATATAAGATATTACGAAGAGGCTGTCTGTAAGACTGTGCTCTCCTTGTCTGTTTAATGCATGTACTGAAGTGTGGTGCAGATGAATTAGGGCTATACATCAAAGGAGTCTGTCTGGAAGGCCTCTGCTTCATTTTTTGGCAAAGCCTGTGGATAATTTGAATGAGAGATCCCATGAGCTGGAACACTGCAAGCAAAACGGGCTCTAGTGCCCACAAATGCTGAATGCTGGTAATGAAAGGAGAAAGAAAAGAATTCTGTTGCTTTCCTGAGGATTTTTACAGTTAAAACAAACACTGACACCAAGGCTGGTGGCAACAGTACTACATAGATAGAAAGAAACAAAACAACTCTCAGACTTTAATGTGATGAACAAGATTAGGAGGCCTTTTCAACATGCAATGTAGTTCTACATCAGTAGAAAAGTCCTAACAGTTTGCTTCACTGGGGTGTTCCAAAAAATAAAATTGTAATTTTAGAAGGCTGATGTGAACATTAATGCTTTTATACTTAGAGCAGTTTGAAGAGTTAGCAGCATACAACAAACAGGGACAGAAAAAATGGTTTACCTTTGATAAGCTACGGATTAAGCCTTAGATGCACCAGGCTGGACTTCCACTCTGTAAGCACCTGTCAGCAGAAGCAGGGCTGCTCCTTGCAGAGATGAGCTGGAGCCAAGGGCAGCCTCACGGCAGGCAGGGCCAGCCCAGCAGGAAGGATGCTGGAAACCCACTGGTAGCCCAGTGAGCATCAGGCACAGACAAGGCAGCAAGCCAGCTCTGAGGTCAGTGAGTAGGAACCCCAAGCAGCAATCCAGGACCATCAGGTAGCAGGACAAACAGCAGAAACACCCAGCCCAGAAGGGCTCAGAGGAAGGCTGAGATGCCAGGCTGGAGCTTAAATAGGGCTCTCATGTGTGGAGGTCCCAGGTGAGGCTGCTTAGGGCAATTAAGGCTTATTTGTGCACTCAGGGTCCTGGCAATGTTGTGTATTTACTCTCATCTAGTCAACAGGGGTAGAAGCACTTTCAAGGAGTGATGTAACCTTCCCATATTAGATGGTTATACTAAAATGGCATCCTTTGTTCCGGAGGTGCCTTGTCCTTGTCACTGTTTATGAAAGCGAACATAAACAACTAAGTCAGAAGACATACTTTACATTTACACCACTAAAGTTAGACCAGATGTATTCCATCCAGCTAAGTGCTGTGCAATGAATAAGCAAGGGTTTGCATGGGGAAAAAAAGCCTAGACCATCATGTCATTAAAGTATATACCACAGTGCAATTCAGGGAGACTGCTCTGAGATTATAAATGCATTCTTCTTGCATTTTGTAGCTTCTGATGGTTTGCTGTGCCCCTTACTAATCTTGTTACTTGTTTTGCGTACTGTTAGTCTAATGAGTCCCACAAAATGGAGACTCTCTGTGTGTGTCAGGCTGCGCTGTTTATTGTTCACCAGAAGGGAAAACACAGAAAACCTACAGCCTTCTGAAAAAAAGGGGACTGTATTCACCATCTTGCTATTCCAGTTACACAGTGGTATTGTTCCATTATTTTCAAATAATAACTACTGACGTAACAAATCATGGCTATAAAGTGGATAAAATGTGCAGCCTGGGAAATTGCTTCTAACAATATGTGAAGTATGGGGACCAGGTCTTCAATGCCATTTCACTGTTGACTTTAATTATACTTGTCCTGACACTCTGCCCAAAATGCTTTCATATTGTTTTCACTTGGCTCTCTGCTGTACTTTGTTTTAGATCTATAATCGACTAGACAGAAACTGCTGTGGATTCAAACCTCTCAAGGAGGATTCCTGTGTGCAGCAAGGACTGAAGCTGAAATGTAGTGATGAGGATGCCATTGACCTGACAAACATAGTTCAGAGAAAGCATGATCGAAGGCACTTGGCATTTATAGACAATAAGGGTTTCTTTGACAGAAACGAGGACAATCTTGACTTCAAAATACTACAAGGAATCAATGAGTAAGTTTTGAGTTATTAATTTTATAGAACGATTGATAATTTCTTCCCAGTTTGAGCATGAGACACTAAGTTACTGGAACAGATAACAGCTCAAGACATTTACAGGATGTGCCTAAAAATGTATGAGTAATCCCACTGATGTAAAAGATACAATTAACATGCATATGATTAGGCATGCATGGACTTCCTTTGCTGAGTTGCAGTCTATAGTAATAGAATTGATTGCTAAACCACAACATAAATTTTGCAATTCAGAGTGATGGCAAAGCTGATGAATTTCTTTGTGCTTTTCCAGATTCCCTGAATCTGCAGTTTCAGTGCTGAGGAGCCAACGTTTACGTGAGAAGTTGCTTCAGTCTTTATTCCTTGACAAAATATTCTGGGAGAGCCAAGGAGGCAGAAAAGGAATTGAAAAGCTTATTGATGTAATAGAAAGGAGGTCCAAAATTCTTCTTACTTACATAAATGCACATGGAGCCAAAGTATTGCCCATGAATGAATGAAGCAGTCTTGTCTCTATCTGAGAGACAGACTTTAAAAGAATTTGTATGAGGCAAAAACTGATGGTAAAATTGGTTTAATTCATGGGCTTATTTAATTTTTATTTTTTCCAAACTTTCAAGTTTAAGTAAGAAATCTTACAAGGTTTAAATGTCAGCTGCAGCTCAACACAGTGCAGTCACTTCTATGTCACCAGTGAAATGAAATTAAAAATAACAAAATGGTACAATAATTTAATGCAGTGATATGTAGGTACCATGAATACGCCTTCTGTTACACTGTTTGAAAATTATCAACAGGATCTTCTAGGCTGGATTATTCTTGCCTCCCTCATTCAAGACAGTAAAAGTTTTATTGCAACTTTAAATGGGAACAGAGATTTGTAAGCACTTAATACGTTGATGAAAACTGTCATTGCATCTACCTGCTGAAACATATCTAGTATACAGGAATTTGTCTTTGTGATTATGAATACAAAAATTCCAACATTTCCAAAGCCTTATTTTGTTTTATTTGATTTTGGTCTTTTGAAATCTGAGGACTAAATTCAGCTCTTTTAAATGCAGGGGTGTTTGCATGGGACATGAGAGAAATTTAAAAACAGTGAAGAGAACATGGCTTTAATAATAATAATTAATTGACAAATACAGTTTTTACCCATCCAGTACAATTTGTCATGAGTCACTAGTTGCAACATACTGTTTTCAGTACAGGTTGTTTTGATGTGTGGGTGGATGATCTGGTATTATCTGTCTATTGATTAACTGGGTATTACTCACAGAATTGTACTTTATTACCACTATTTAAAAAAACTTAAACGAACAGCTTTATCTCTGTGTGATAATGCTGCTAAATAAGTTTACACATTTGGTCTTGCAGCATTCTTGACAATATTTTTGTAGAATATTATCAAAAAGCAAACCTGCTAAGGACGTGAGTGTTATTAAACACAGACAATGTGCTGCGTGCTCAGCTCTAGCCAGCAATTCAGGCTCTGGTTTTCCTTTAATATTGACCACTGCAGGGTGATGATTCTAGCTGATGACTTGCCCCAAGTATTCCCACAGGTAAGGTTGTTAGAGAGGGTTGGATAAGCACTTTGGATTCTTAATCTTCATCTGCTCCAGAAATAAAATATCAACTGGTATAGTCTATCATGACATATACCTTCTACCTGTCTGTTTAGGAAGACTCTTACTGTCTTTCTAGAGAAATATCTATTATCTTCTTGCCATGAGATAATGGCAGAAGTTAAATACTTTCATAGCTACTCTTGTCTTTATGTATAGTAAAAAAATATAGGGTGTCTAAGATTTTAAAATATTTTTGAAAGCACTTGTGTAATGGTGTTAATGAGAAACTAAAATGTTTTGTGTCGGTCTTCATGTGGATAGGTGAATTTAATGTTTTAAATAACTACAATTCCACTGCAGCTAAAACAGATTTTCTTTCTTAGTATTGGAACAGCTATTAACAATAATTGCATTACCGGAAGAAATAGATCTCATTACAGGGAGAGTTAAAGATACTTAGTAAAATTTTAAGAGCTTGGCGATTTAAATAATCTTTTATTTTATTATGTCAGTGAAGGGCAGATACATTTGTAAAAACTTCCTAGAACGTAACGATTTCCTCGAGTGGACATGTTTTAGAGTGCTTTGGAATTTTTAATAACACCAAAGTAGGATTTTAAAGGATTTTCATATTATCCATTTCTTAAAATGTTGTAGCTTATTAGCCAGGTAATTTCTATCACAGAAACAAAACTGAGCCTAGAGAAAGATATAATCCTCTGGATCCATTTCACATGGCATTCATGTTGCAGTAAATTCCACTCTTTGGTGAAAGTTACAATCAATTTGTCTCATTTCCTAGCCTATCTCAGTTTTCTTCCTGCTAGATACCGGTTCAAATGGATTATTACACACTATTGGGAATGAGAGAAAGGCACGACTCTCAGCTACACTGAACTTAGAAGAGGGCCAAATGGAGATGCAAGAGTGTATCTGATCACGAAAAAAGTCCAGTGACAACTCTGCCTTCTAGCTTCTCCTCTTCTGTCTTTGGACTGTGCATCCTGATGCCAAGTCATTGCCTCACATTGCCCAGTTGTTGTTTTTTCCAGAATTGGCTCATTGCCTGAGAAGAGAAGGAAATCAAAAGTCAGTATTTTTTTATCTTTTCAGGTTAGGTCCTTTATTTTTATGGTGATAACTTGATGCATTCTTCTCCGTTTCTTCTGGACATGGACTAGTGCTTCCTTGAACATGATACATACTTTTTTATTTGCTTGGCCATTCAGTGCCATCTCTTAAAGCAGTAATGCAATTGCCAACTATTAAGTAGTTGCCCTGAAGCTAACCTGGAGGGATGCCTCTCACTAGTCCTGAGCTTAAGAGGTCCAAGTAGCCATGATGTTGCGCAGTGCTTAAAAATTTGACCAAGCATGAAAAGCATAACTGTAAAGAGCAGATCTTCTGGAGACGAATCTTGTGAATTACTATCCTTAGGAAATGAATGGTGTTTTTTACTAGATATTTTTTGTGGCAGAGGCAGATCAAGTCATAATTAGAGGTACTCTGCAGGGCAAAACAATGTTTAGACTTAGGTAGAAAGTGCAAGGGAAGGATAGGTGTATCTCCCTCTGCTGTCCAGTATGGACCAGACAGGCACATAAAGGCACTGTCTTCTCAGAACTGCTGAAGGGACCAGCGAGTCCAGAGCCAATGGCCAAGGCAGACTGAGCTCTGCCATTGCTGCACATTACACTGTCCGAGGGCAAAGGAATACTTCTTTCTCTGAAATTCTGAAATTGCATCTAGGATTTCTTATGCATACAAACACTCCCATAGTGTTCAGGGAAGTCAGGAGAGGCTTTGTGAGACTGGGCAGTGGGGCTGGACTGTAAATTGCTTCTAATTCTCTAATGTTGATAACAAACTCTGGAAAGTGCCTTTTCTCCATGATGTTTATCCTGTTGCTGTAGAGCCTGGTACTTGAATCCAGTATTGTTAATAATACAAAGTATGATTGCGATAGTACATACTAGTCAAGTTCTATGTTTTTTTACAAAAGTTAAGAATTCTGTACTTTTTGACTGCATTTGCATAAATGGCCCACTAAAAAATACAAAAGAAGCACTTTGCAGAGCTTGTTTATTCACTGCTACTACATTCAAGGTATCTGCTCTCCCTTAGGTAACAGGAGTAAAGTTTATTGGGAAATAAATTCCTTTTAAAACAACATGATGTTGGACTGACATTCCTGCACAGTAGCCTAAGGACTATTAACTGATAGGAAAAATTGTGAAGAAGCCTTACTCTGCCTATGGTGGTGATTGACAGAAAGCCAAGAAACTGTGTTTTAGACATCTTTGCTGGGCTATCTTCCATTTATGGGCATATGGGATCAGACAATAATTCATGTTGCACATTACTCGGAAGGGTGTAACCCACAGCAACAGTCCAAAACCTGTGGGTGGGAAAAGACAATTACGTCATTCTTGAATCTGCCTGAAAGCCAGAACCACATGAAATGGAGTTTCAAAAGAAAGTCAAGAGAGTTTGCTGATTTCATAACATTGGAAGACAGAGCTTAAAATAAGTAGCATAGGCACAGATGCCTTAAAATTACTCGGGAGCCTGCCAGCAAGTTAATCTTAAATGTTTCAGAAGCTGTGGATAGGAAAACTTTTGTTGAGCACTGTGAGAGCAGTTTCCTTCTTCTTTTCTTTCTTTTTTTTTTTTCTTTTTTGTGTGTGTGTATTCTATAATGCACTATATTTAAAAACATAAATTCCATGGTTTCAAAAGAGCAAATACAGATTAAGGGTACACTAAGGGACAAACTTCCAGTAGCAATTCTGGGAACACTTTCATGCATATGTGCGTATGCGAACTTGAACATACATGTATATACACTTTGGCTTGTTTCTATAAAATGGTCATTTTGGCTAAAAAGAGTTGTTTATACAATTTGCTGTTTCCATATAGAATTGTGTTTGTGAGTGTCAAGTCCAATTTTGGTTATACACAAGTTGAAGTTTAAACAAACATTACTATGGATTAAACTTTTGTTCTGAAAGGGTTAACTCTCTTGTTATTAACACATTCATAAAGTCTTCTACTAACAATTGTAGAGAAAAACAGCAATATGTTTGTATCTGAGCTAAACTGCCAGAGTGATATAAATTCAGATGTTGTTACTGAGTTTTACATTAGATATTGAATTTCCATTTTCTTTTGGAATTTTGCATTTTAAAAGTCAATTCCTTTGTCCTTTTATTAATAACAGTAGAAGTGTTATCACAAGTAATGAATTGTTTGAATCTCTGCTGCTATTGTCATATAATGTCCGAGAATATATGAAATAAAATGGTATCTTCATCAGATTTTCAGTTCAGATCTCTAAGTTGCAATAACAATAGGGTAATACATATTAATGTAATATGTGGATCATTAGATACTGTTTGGAAAGAACTATGGCCTTGAAACTGCTTCTTCAGAGAAACAATCCAAACCAGATTACGAAGCTCTTCCTGTGGAAATGTTTTCTAGCTGTTTACTCACGAGACTTGTAACTCTTTCTTACTAAGCTGATTCACTGTAACCGTGAAGCTTCTGGTTCCTGCAGCATTAGTAAATACTGCCTTCTTTAGCCATTCTGGCAATGCCTGCTTACACAAACACTGAGCAGAAAAGGCCATGCCCGTTTATGATGTCAGAAGTATTGGTCAGTGACAGATAAACTTTATAATAGACCATGAGCAAGTACAGGAATAGGAGAAAGACACTGAACTCTGTGTGGAAGAGAGACTCACACGGAGTTAAAGTAGCCTGAGAACTTTTTGGTCTCTGAAGTTTACATTTTTGCCATGATCCAAGAGAGACTAATGGGAAACACAAAGATGTTGAAACATTTTTAAACATTCTCTTTTGCAAACAAAGCAATTTGATTTGTTTTATTAAAAACCTTATTTATTTTTGCACATTACTGCATACCTCAGGGTCAATTCTCTCAGATACATTTGTGTAAATTGATTACAATTCCACTGAATTATCCGATTTCCAGATAAAACAGTTTAAGTCAGGTTAATCCATGTTCTCAGAGACTGGGGAACTGAGCCATAAGGTCAAAAGGAGACCT